GCGGCGACGGCGGCGGCGGCGCGGGGCGCTCGGCCTAATGGCGGCGGCAGCCGGGCCCGGGGCGGCGCTGTCCCCGCGGCCGTGCGACAGCGACCCGGCCAGCCCCGGAGCACCGTCCCCGAAGGTGAGGAGCGGCCCCAGGGTTTGAGCGGGCCTGCCTGCGGGACGGCAGCGGCCGAGCGGACGGGGACCGGGGTCGCCCCGCGCCCCTCAGCCTCGGGAGCAACAAGTGCGGCGGGGGCGCGGCCCCGGCTCCGCTCCTGGGAGCCGTCCGGCCCGAGCGCCCCGGCGAGGCGGTGGGGACGTGGCGGGGTCGCTGGCGAAACTCTTAAACTTTACGCTGTGCCGGGAGTGGGAGTAACTCCGGGTTGTGAAAGTCAGAAAGTGGAGGGGAACGGGCTGAGAGCTCTGGCGTGCCTTCAAACGCCATCTCCGACTGTGCGATGTGGTGGCAGAGGCTGGGAGGGATGTTTTAACACCTCAGAACTTCTGATGAGGAGCCGCCATGAAGGCCGCGCGGGCCGGCAGAAGGCTCGGCAGGATCAGCGGAGGGCGGGCTGGGAGGGGGCCCGGGTCCGAGTCGGGTTTGGCCCGCTCAGGGCCCCCGGGGATCGGACCAGGCTATCCCTTGAAAGGCTCACCGGGTGTGCCGGGCACCTGCTGAGCTCGCCCTGTGCCTTGCCTTGTTCAGCTCAGCTCGCCCACTCCTAACTGCCGTGCAAGTCTCTGATCTTGAAAGTTTGGGATTCTTCTGAACGTGTCCTTTATCAGTATCATGGTCACACATGTATTCTTAGAACAGTCCCATTTTGCTGGATACTGCAGTTTGTGTGGAAAAAGGCCAGCTGACCGGATGTGCACTTTATGTAATTATGCATTTGCCTAAAATTTGCAATACCAAATTTAAAACACTTCACAAAGTATATGGAATTGTGGCCTTAGTTTTTTTTTTTTTAAGTCTCACCTTTTAACTTTTTATTTTTTTGCTTTTGTCTGTTTTTGAGTGTCTCATTTTTTTTTTAACCAAAGGGAAATAAATTGACATAAACATTCTTAAAATACTCAGAAGCGAGTAAAATAGAAAAAAGAAGATACTTGAATGCTTACAATGAATAATGTCTGAAGTATTGGAAATGAAGCTTTGCAATTGTGGCATTTAGTGTTAAACGTTAGTTTTGGGAAAATAGACTGTTTGCCAGCTCCTACTTGGTTGCTAATCTTAAAAGGAGTATCAGGCTGTTTAATTGAATGCTTATTTTTTTAAGAGAGGAGGCCAAGGGAGTAAAAGAGAAAACCAACTAAAGAGCCCAGAATGCTTATTTTATAAGGATTAAAGAAGAATGTTTTGTACATTTTGCGGTTTGGAAAAGAATCTTAGTAGATTTCTAGGGAGTGGAGACGTTTGAGATTTTATTCTCATCGTCATACTTTAGAATGTTTACCAGTATTTGCTAGTGCTTTCTAGGTATTAACTTATGTGATCCTTACATTAACCACATAAAATGGGTACTATTATGGGCCTAGTTTTTCAGGTAGGAAGAAGCTCTCAGAGAATAACCACCCAGCTAGCGAGGGCAGGGCACAGTAAGGCCCCAGAACGTCAAGCCCTAGCATGCCTGAACACTGTTACTGGCGCTTTTATTTTCATTCGCAGAATTACTTTTGCTTAATATTTTGTCAGAGGACAGGGTACTTTAACCAGATAATATAAAAAACTGACTTTTAGACTGTAAGCCTTGGCTAACATGTAAATAAATCAATTTTCTGACATCTGATACCTCATTCATTTCCTTACTGGTAGAACTTATAGCTTGTTACATAGTTGCATTAAAAAGTACACATAAATAAATAAATATATATGGCTGTCTTTTGGATGTATGTATTACTATATTATAAATTAATGACCGTTATGTAGCATAGGTAAATGGTTAGGATTGGTAACCTGTTTTTAGCCATTTGGTGACTTTTTCACAGGAACATAGATGCCTAAAGTAGAATAGTCCTGTGAACCAGTTCTGAGTTGAAATGCTATGAATGACCTGTACAGTTGCCTAGCATAGGTAGGAGAGTTTGCCTCGATTTTTGAGTGATGCAGCAGTTTTTATATTAAAAGCAGAAAGCATTTTAATCTTAATTGGTAAAAAAGTAAACATAAATTTAGATTCATAGATTAATTGAAAATTTTGTTTCAATTGAAGATTAGGTTTTAGTTTTTCTCTAGGTCTTGCTTATGTCAAATTTTTAGTCACTTGATTATTATAGGAAATTAACATTTATATAATTAATTGTCCTTTAAAAATCCTTTCACTTATTGAGACTTTTAGCAAGAGTGCAAAGATACAAATTATCGTTTCCCTGTTTATTATTTATTCTTTTCTCTAATTATTATTACTTTTGAATCTTTTAAATGCGTAGGATGATAATGAAGATAATTCAAATGATGGGACTCAGCCATCCAAAAGGAGGCGGATGGGCTCAGGAGACAGCTCCAGGAGCTGCGAGACATCCAGTCAGGATCTCAGGTACTGGCACTTTACTGCTTAATAATATTTGTTGTGGTATGTTTCTCTTCTCGGTATTAGCTCCTTTTTTCCTCTCTCCTGCTTCCTAGCCCTGAAAAAGGCATTAATTAAGGCTTTTAGGCTCTTTCTTTCTTTCTGAATCATAATACTTCTTCCATAGTAGCTGTACCATTTCAATACCTTCCCATCAGCAGTTCAGTTTTCATTGCCAGATCCTTGCAGGTTTTTTTTGACAATAGTCATCCTAAGAAGTGTGAAGTGATACCTTATTGAGAGTTTTGATTTGCATTTCCATAATGACTAGTGGTGTTGTGAATCTTTCCATGTGCTTATCGGCCATTTGTAGCTTTGGAGAAGTATCTATCTAGAACTTGGCCCTTAAAATTTTTTTATGTTGTTGTTGTTGAGTTATGGGAGTTTTTTATATATTCTGGATATTGATCCCTTATCGTGTGTATATATTTGTAAATATTTTACCCCAACCCTTGAGTTTTCACTGTTGATAGTGTCCTTTGATGTATAAGTTTTTTTTTATTTTGATGAAGTCCAGAATAGCTATTTTTTTTCTTTTATAACTTGTGCTTTTGGTGTTATAGCTAAGAATCCATTGTTAGGTCAGAGTTAGCTTTTATATTTGGGTTGTTGGTCCATTTGAGTTAATTTTTTAATGTGGTGTAAGGTCAGGGTTCAGTTTCATACTTCTGTGTGTGGATATCTAGTGGCCCAGCACCAGTTTTGGAAATACTGTTTTTGTCAGCTACTTTTCAAATGGATAGATGCATAAAGTAGTGTTTTATTGTGCCTCTGATTTGGGAATCACATTGGCTCAGATCCTGAAATCTCAACTCTGTTCTTCAGGATTGAGATTGACTGCAGGACACTGGCACTTTGAAAGTAGGTCCATTCTTTCTTCTGGTCTGTGGAGGACATATGAGAACAAATAATTATGGTGTATATCCCAGCACTCAAGAGGCTGAGGCAGGATGATTGCTGTGAGTTCAAGGCCAGCCTGAACTGAATAGCAAAACCCTTTCTCAAAAAGACCAAAAAAAAAAAAAAAGAAAAAACATGGGGCATAGATAGGCCAGCTCATTGAAAAACAGAGTCCTACGCTCCCTCTTTGGGACTCACTAAGCAGCAAAAAGAATCAGAAGTTGCTCCCATATAGCCCACGTGGATGAAATACTGTAGTGAGTATTAAGCCACAAAGAATTCAGAGCTGATACCACTACCTTGCTTTCGTCTCCACTCAGTCTGAACAGGCCATTGTTGCTAGTAGTTGTGAGTCTTGGTTCCTTGTGGTATACATAAAATATTTTCAATTTTTGATATATTTCAAATGATCTTCCTTCTAACCTGTTTTGTAGTTTTCTTTAATAAGCATAAATCAAGTCATAACAGAATTTGAATACTTAATTGTCAAAATATCCTCAAAAACAAAAGTAATTAGAATGTAATAAATGCCATTTTTAAAGCATAATATGTATTTCTGTGCTCAGCTTTAGTTACTATCCAGCAGAAAATCTGATTGAGTACAAATGGCCACCTGATGAAACAGGAGAGTACTATATGCTTCAAGAACAAGTTAGTGAATATTTGGGTGTGACCTCCTTTAAACGGAAATATCCAGGTACTTAAGTCTTAGTTTATTTATAAATGCCATATAAATTTTAACTAATAGTAATTCTGTATGATCAACTGTCTACTTCTAAATTTTTACATATAAATTATTTATATTTTATATTCTTGTTCTTGCTGGCTTTTACTATTCAACATCTCTCTGTCATTTATATATTCTTTATCTCACAAACTGATTTAAAGGCAAAGTGAAAAAAGTGAATTTTGGGGGGGGAATTTTAGAAAAAAATTATTTTGTAGCTAAGAGATTTGGATTCTTTACCATTGCTCCTCAACCTTAGGAATGCAGTTAGCTACATAAACCATATCTGAATTTCAGAAAGGGTATTTCTGGTTAATTATGTTAGTGTAGTTATTTATGTTACCTTTGTGCTTTAGGTTACTCTTCTTAGTTTCGTTTTTTTAATTTCTATAATTTATAACATTTTTGTGTAGTTCCCTTAATACTGAGAATATCTAAATTGTTTTTAAAAAATCAGTTTTTTAAGCTGTTAGACACTTTATAAATGTATAATGTTTCATTATTTTTAATAGTTTTTTGTTCTTTTTTTTTTGAGATTTAGAGCGACGAGATTTGTCTCACAAAGAGAAACTCTACCTGAGAGAGCTAAATGTCATTACAGAAACTCAGTGCACTCTAGGTAATGTAAGTTTTTAATGTGAATTTTTCAAGCTGCATGTATTTGTAGGTGGTATTGGATAAGTATTTATCTCTTTTTGTTGAATATTTTACATAATAAAATAAATTGAGCTATTTAAATGCTAAATTGTTTATTTTCTTGAAGTGGAAAGGAGAAAGAAGTTTATGTTTTATAACAATATAATTTTCTAATAATAACTTCCCAGAGCTGTCAAAGTGTTTGTGTTTTGTGTGCAAATTTTGTGTTTCTTTTTTAAGGTTATCTTTTCCTTTTTCTCTTTTGGTGTTTTTTAGACAGGATCTTGTAGTTAAGGCTAGTCTTGAACTCATTATGTATCCCAGGCTGGCCTCAAACTCACAGAAATTCTCAGCCTCCCGAGTGCTGAAATTATAGGCACTCACTATACCCAGCTAAAATTTGTATTTTTTAAAAGTGTAAATCCTTATTTTTTGTGTGTGTGTGTCACTGGGGATTGAACCCATACATCCTTACTTCTCAAGAGGCAAATTTTGGGGCCGGGAATATAGCTCAGTGGCACATTGCCTGCCTAGTGTAAAGTCCTGAGTTCGATCCCTGGTACTGAAAAAAAAAGAAAAAGAAAAAAAATAGTCAAATTTTGCTAAAGTTTTAGTTCTATGTAACTGTCTCCATGCTGTATTCATAATTTACTACTCATAAGCATTGTGATAGAACATAGCTACTGTTTAATATAAATTCATGGGTGTTCATTTTAGCACTTGGTGAAATATGATATGATGAGTTTTGGAAACTTTCAGTGATATGTATATACTAGTCTTTTAAAAATTTGGTATATTTTTAGTGTATGAAATTTGAAGACTAGGGAAAAGTACATTGAAAACCTTTTTATACATCTAAAATCCTACATTGTTAATGGTTAGTGTACATCATTATTTAATAGTGGTATTTACATACACTGGGATACTACTCTGCCACAAAGAAGATAAATTTGAGGGCTGGGGATGTAGTTTAGTGGTTCCACACCTGCCTGGCAAGTGCAAGGTCCTGAGTTTGATCCCCAGTACCATACACACACACAAAAGATAAATTTGAGTCATTTGTGGGAAAATGGGTGTACCTTGAGACCATATGTTAAGTGACATAAATCAGACACACAAGCTTAAATATCACATGGTTTCTGTTATATGAGAGACCCTATATATAAATAAGGAGCAAAATAAAAGATAATTGATATGAAGTAGGGAGATAGATCTTTCTCAAATGGTAAGGCAGTCATGAGAGGGAGGGGAGGAAGGGAAGGGGATGGAAGAATTGGGACTTGTTATGTCCATGTACCAACTCCCCACAAGGAATGTAAACATTATGTACTGAAAACATGTGCTAATACAAAATAAGAACTAAAAAATAACAAAACCAGCAAATAAAAAATGGTTTCGAAGTAAAGGAATATTTATGTTTATGATATGTAAAATCTAAAACTCATTTGGGTGAAGAATTGATTTCTTTGCCTTCTCAAGATAATATATTTTTGGCTTTTATTATGAATATTATATTATTTTTCAAGTCTATTAAAATACTTTGTAGTTGGGTGTGGTGGCACATACCTATAATCCCAGCACTAGGGAGGCTGAGACAGGAGGATTGCCATGAGTTTGAGGCCAGCCTGGAAATCCTGTCTCTAGAAGAAAAAAAGAAAAAAAATACTTTGCCTCAACTACTCTGAAACCTTTTACATGTAGTTTTCAAAAAGTATTTTTCTTTGCTTAGCCTTAAAGAGCTTCTTTACTTTTTTAAAAAAAATAGGTTTAACAGCATTGCGCAGTGATGAAGTGATTGATTTAATGATAAAAGAATATCCAGCCAAACATGCTGAATATTCTGTTATTCTACAAGAAAAAGAACGTCAGCGCATTACAGATCATTATAAAGAGTATTCTGTAAGTAACTGAGGTGATTAGCATCATTTATTTGGGATGAGAAGAATGTCATTTTGTAAAGTTATGTGTGACTTCCAACTGTAATATTTTTATTTCAGCAAATGCAACAACAGAATACTCAGAAAGTTGAAGCCAGCAAAGTGCCTGAGTACATTAAGAAAGCTGCCAAAAAAGCAGCTGAATTTAACAGCAACTTAAATCGGGAGCGGATGGAAGAAAGAAGAGCTTATTTTGACTTACAGACACACGTAGGATGACTTAAATTTAGTACTACCTGAGTCTAGTGATTGCTTCTTATTACAGAGTGGTCATTTCCCCATTTACTATTATTGTTTTGATATAAGGTCCTTATTCTTTTCTTCTGCAGAAATTAAGATAACCTTTTTAATGATGTGCTGAATAATGCTCAGTTTGCTTTTTTATTTTCTTCTTGTGGTTCTGGGGATCAAATACTGGGCCTCACACATGTTGGCAAGAGCTCTCACACTGAGATACATCCTCAGCCCATTTTGTTTTGAGACAGTCTCACTAAGTTGTCCAGGCTGGCCTCGAATTTGCATTCTCGTGCCTTCACCTCACAAATGGCTGGGTTTACAGATGTGCCCCACTGTGTCCACTGCCTTTTTTTTTAAAGGTCTCTTTTGCTTTATGATTGATATTCTACTGCGTGAGACTGATTGTAGCTATGTATCCTCCTTGCTATATATCCTAAGGGTGGTCGCGAGGAATTTTCACATTCACTTAATTCTCACAGTAACCACATGAAGTTGGAGGTAGTATAGTTTCCATTTCTCAGAGGGAGATGTTGAGCTACAGAGAGGTTTATAAGCAGTGTGACCCAGGTCACACTTGTGTTACTTGGTAAGCAGGAGATACACTACCTCTTCTCAGAAGTTGTGGTTGTGGTGAACTAGCCCACAAAACTTGTCACGCATGGAACTAGAAAGTACCAACTGTCCTCTTAGGTTGTAGCTCCCAGTGTCACATTTTGCTGCTTTTATGGGGTGGGTTGGAGGTGTGTTCAGTGGAGCACTTGTGAGGATTCTCTTCCTAACCCATGATTCCTGGCATGGAATCGGTTTTGCATCTCTCTGTTAACACAGGTTATCCAGGTGCCTCAAGGGAAGTACAAAGTGTTGCCAACAGAACGGACAAAGGTCAGTTCTTACCCAGTGGCTCTCATCCCCGGACAGTTCCAGGAGTACTACAAGAGGTATTCAGTAGATGTAGTTATCATGGGTTTCAGAACCTTGAGTACTTGCCTCCCAACACCAAAAGATGTTGTGTAGGACTTGTGTCAATTATATCTTCTCTGGTTCTATGGTGAAGAACACCCTTTAACCAGAATTTAGACACTTGCTGAGGAAGTCTAGGTGCCGTATTTCTGCCCGCCTGCTTCGAGTTTGTCACAGATAGATGCCAGAGGTTGTGTATAACTCGTAGGTTGCAATGTGGTCCATGGTCCAACAGCACTGGTATCACTTGGAATCTTGCTGGAAATGCAGAATCTCAGGCACAACTCCATGCCCACTGCCTAAGTCTGCATTTGAACAGATATGTGTAGTGATTCACGATATATGTGCAGGTTAGAGTTTGAGAAGCACTGACTAGTACTACAGAGCAGCAGGAGCAGAGTGAGCAGCAGGAGCAGAGTGAGCAGCAGGGCAGGACCGTGCATTGGTACCTGCCAACTTGCTGGGATGGCCTGGCTGCTGCTTCTAGTGTGTGTATCATGAGTGCTGCTTGTCTCCTGTTCCTAGCCTCACTGTAATCAAAACTTAAACCAAACCAAACAAACAAAAACCCAGGGCTAATGGGTTCATTTTGTTTCAGCATCTTAGTGTCAGCTTTAAACCTTACTCTGGAAACATGTTTGTTGGAATAGAGAATATTCTGTAGAGAATATTTACTGTTTGAAAGTCAAATTTAGATCATAGGCAGACTTTTTTATTACAAAATTTTGCTTGTGTTTTGGGTGAGCAGATGATTAAGAATTATATGCCATTCTACCAATGCCTTTCCTTTTAGTGGAGGGAGGTATTGGTCCAGGGTCCCTTCCTGAGTGAGGCCCCTCTGAAGGGAGGTGGTAGTGTGCTATCTGACTAAGGGGAAGTACGGCCATTCTGCAGCATCAGACAGCCAGATGATTAAGTATTAGAATACATGTTTCCAAAAAAATAATTGGTTTAAAATAATTGAAAACAGTTTATGTCTTAACTGTGCACTGCTATGATTTCCATGGATTAATTTATTTAATCTTTGTATTGGTTTTATGAGCTAGGCTGTTACTATCCCTGTTTACAAGTGGAGGGCTGCAGCTAGAGAGGTGGCAACGACCCAGGCCAGGGTGGAGATGGATGTGAGCAGGCTGCAGACCTTGACCCACATGTTGATGTACTATTCTGTATCACTGTAGTTCACCTTTGTCTGCTGGCATTTTAGTTATTTTTTTCATTACTGAGTTGAGAGTGAAAGGGAGAAGCATTATCTTTCAACAGTAAGAATCAAATACGTATTCTACATGATCAGTCTCATGAAAAAATATTCAGGGTTTTATTCCCATCTGATAACCAGGATGAAAAATGAAAGGTCTCTATAATCATTTTCAAAAGCATGTGGGAATAGGAAGCTTAAGGGGATTTTTGCAGCTCAAAGCCAAGGTGTTCATATTTAATAATAAAAGTAAACTCTGAATTTAGGTACTCACCAGATGAACTGCGATATTTGCCTCTGAACACAGCCCTGTATGAGCCCCCTCTGGACCCTGAGCTCCCTGCATTGGACAGCGATGGTGATTCAGATGATGCTGAAGATGGGCGTGGTGATGAGAAGCGGAAACATAAGGGCACTTCGGTAGGAATGTTTGTCCTTAGTAGGAGGAGTTTCCTTTCACTCTGAATGTTTGCCAGCTGCCTTCCCAGAATGTTAAATTAAGCTGTGTCACCACACTCTTGTTGAGTTGCATGTAATTTCCAGAAAACTTCGATCAAGCAATTTGTTCATTTTGTGTGTGGTTGTGTACAAGCTGTACATGGCGTATGTTAAGTTTTATATTTAAAATGGCTCCTCCTTTTTTGTTATGAGCACATTAGGCAAGGGTACTGAACATTAGTTTATTATCTTTTATCTAACTTCCTGACAGTACAGCTTAAAATACTGAACAAAACAGATTCTGATTTTTTCCTACAGAAAAATGTATTTTTCTTGGTTTCGGGGAGGACATTAACTTGGGTTTCAGTTGCTTAATCAGGCTTTCTATAAGAAAACATTACATTTACTAATGAGTTGTGCTAGCTGTTGGGCTTTCCTGTGTGACTTTTTTTGGTGGTGCTGGGGTTGCCTTGTGCGTGTGAGGAAAGTGCTCTACCACTGAGCCATACCTCTACCCCTGCATGACTCTTAGCCAAATGTGGTAGCAAGACCAGGAGGTTGGTATATTCTGTGAATGGGAAGAACGGCAGGCTGCTCGTGGCTCAGGGCTTTGGTGCTAGTGGTGAAACAGGGCTTTGATTTTTCTATAGAAGTGTACTTTAAGTAACTTTCCATTGCGGACTTCACACTATGGCTGACCTGAGCCTGAGAATGTGCTAAAATTAGGTGACATTATAGTTCCTTCTTGCCAACCCTGTAAAACATACTTGGTCATACTTGTTACATAAAATTGTAGCCTGTTAAGAGTGTGGGAGTGGTGGTGCATATTGCCCCCTGCCGGGTAGCTGGAACCGGAGCTGTGTCGAGCTCTGGGTGATAAAGCTAGCTTCCTCCTATGGTTCAGAGGAGTGTAAATAAATCCATTGTGTTGGGAAACTGTTTTGACAGCATACCAGGAATTTTAATCTTCACAGGATTTTTTTTTTTTGGTACCAGAGATTGAACTCGAGTCCTTGCACTTGTGCAGCAGGCGGCAAAACCACTGAGCTAAATCCCCAGCCCTTCACAGAATTTGACTTAGCAAATATTCTGGCAGAATTCATTCTTAGAACTTAATGAAATGCTGGCAAAGAAATTAATAAGAAAAAATGTTGATTTGAGTGTTAATGGTGATAATTTTCATAGTGGAAATCCCAAATAAATCTTAATGTCTTTAGTGACAGATAAATTTATAGGATAGACGTGCAAAGAATAGTTAATGTATGAGAAAATGCACATAGTGCTTAAACACAATGTAACTCAGTTTTGTGTTTTGAAACATGAGGCCACATTATAAGGTAGGGTGGGTGTGTGAGGGAGAGCTAGGGGACCCACTGCATCTGTGCATACACCTAGGAACACCAGGCAGGGGCACCAAGCACCCAGCCCTCATCTCAGGTGTGTGTCACCTGGCCGTGGGTGGCCTAATATTTTCATTTATAATTATAATTCATTGTTGGAAGCAATGCTACATACATAATTCCAGGGAAAAATCATTTGGTTAGCCTAGTTCTCTTGCCTACAGCCCTTGTCCTGGAGAATCACAGCATCACTGGATCACTGAAGTCTCAGTTGTGACCGGAGGCCAAACTGGAGTTATTCTGTAGCTGGGCTGTAGGCAAGAGAACTAGGCTAACCAAATGATTTTTCCCTAGAATTATGTAGCATTGCTCCCAACAATTCATGCCAAAATTGTTCTAACTAGAAAATTTTAAACATAGAATGAAATAAATGATTAGCTATTGAGGTCTGAAACCTTGAATATGTCAGATCCTGTTGTAGATCTGTGGAATCCACTATCCTTGGACTGGCATAGTTAACATTGTGACAGCACAGATCTGTATTTGAAGGACTTTAATGGCCTTTATTACGCAGTGAAAATAATCACACTTATTTATAATGATATGAAACAAATATGCTCCCTTGTGATTTGAAGAATGTTGAAGCTGAAATGGGTAACTTCATTCTTGTTGACATAAGTAAAAAAAGCTGATAAGGCACTTGCTGAAGGAAATGGAATTAGCTTTAAGCTAAATTGTACTTACAAGAAGGATAAGTACTTTTTAATATGACTTCTTTTAGTCTCTACTGGAAACAGATTTCTTATATTTAGAAAGATCTTTATATTTTTCATGTGATGAATTTTTAATACTTGATTCCGAGTTAGATCTGTCTGGATTCCAAAGAACCTTTGTTTTTGCCTCTTGCGCTGCAGGACAGCTCCTCAGGCAATGTGTCAGAAGGGGAGAGCCCTCCCGATGGCCAGGAGGATGCCTTCCCGGGAAGACAGAAGTCAAAAGACAAAGCCGCTCCTCTGAGAAAGGATGGCTCCAAACGTTCTGTACTGTCCAAGTCAGTTCCTGGGTACAAGGTAGAAGAAAAAAGCCCCTGACTCAGCTTCTTTACTGACCAGCCTCTCTCCCTGAACCATGTTAACTCTGCACTTCACGATGTGGAGCTCCTGCTTGCTGCACCTCACTAGCTGTCCTATGGTGTACACCTGTCTGCTACTTTCTTTTTGCTTTATTTCTTTGGTGGCTTTCCTGTCACTTTTGGCTACTGGTTAGCTTCTGTTTTCTGTATATGTACATTTTGAGTCTTCTCTGCTTTTAAATGATAACCAGGCAAGTATGAGTTTTTAAACATTATTTCACAGGCAGAATTTAAAGTCTTAATTGTAATGGCATTTTAAGTATCTTAGCAGTTTGTGTAGCTAAGCCTGCTGAGCTGAACAGTATGGGTGGACACACTGTTAGGCTGAGTTGCATTTCTGTAGTGCCTTGCAGTAAGAAAAATTGGATTTAATCTAAGGATTATTTGATCCATCTGCTAAATTCAGCTGATTCTAGGATAGAAAATAAAGCCTGTTGTTTACATTGTGGTGACTTTTACCATAACCTCAACAAATAGTCCACATAATTCTAGGACAAGGTTTAAAATATTCTTATTATCTTGTGGTTTGATTATTCTCAGAGTAAGACAGTAGGTTGTCAGCAGCTATTACTATGGTATTGTTTCCTCTCTACCTGATCTTTGCCTTTGAAAGGTTAGATGAGAAGTGAGCAGTTTTATTTGGATATAGGGATATAAGAATATCATAAAAGGAGTAAAATTAGCTGCAGAGTTTTGTTTTGGGTAGTTATAGTAAAATACAGTTCTTTCGATATGAAGTGTATTAGGATGTATGCTTTATTATGATTATGAAGGTGTACTGCAGGAAAGTTTTAAATAGGGTGTTGAGAAAATTTTGCTGAGTGAAATTGTTAAGCACTCTGTTGTATGTCAGCATCGTGGTATATAACCCACAAGAACAAGTTGAAGGGAACTGTAACTCATCCTTCCCTACTTTAAGCAGAATTTTGAAAGTTCATTTATCTTTTTTTTGAAGCAAAAACAAAAAATCTAAAAAATATCCCCAGATGTAATAAATTAGCATATTCCATATTTTATTAGAGATTGTCCTTGTGTAATGATTTAAACATGTATGTTTTTGCAACCCACATCAAGCAAATTTTAAGTGTCATTTAGCAGGGATTGCTTTTTCAAGGGTAGCTTAATAAGCTGCAGTGTTGATTTTTATAGCTTCTAACACAAATATATAGAGAGAGCTTATCTAAGTTTTTTTTTAAACTGAAGATTTAAATTAACGCTTAGTAACTGAAAACAAATGAACTCCAAAGATTAAATTTCAGAAACGTAGCCTACACAAATGAACATATTCATGTGGTCTCAGAGATTCAAATGGGAGTGGGAGCTCACTGTCTTACTCTTCAGTACTTAGCTCTTTCAGACAATAAACCTATTTGATCATGGATTAAAAAAAGAATTTTTTTTTTTGTGATACTGGGGATTGAACCTAGAGCCTTGCACATGCTAGGCATTTGCTCTACCACTGAGATACATCCCCAGCCCTTTTTTTTTTTTTTAATCTTGAGACAGGGTCTTGCTAAGTTGCCCAGGCTGGGCTCATTTACAGTCCTCCTGCCCTAGCCTATCAGGTAGCAGGGATTACAGGTGTGCATGAACACGTGTGGATGAAAAAGAGAATGTTGAAATAGATGTTTTAATACAGGTTGAAAATGAACTAGCCATATTATCATTGATTCACTATATAATAAATCATATAGCTTAACCTAAATTATTAATACTCAAGGGAGTCTGATATGCAAAATAAACATTATGTAAACTTCTGTGAACATTTTTATAACTTAGGTACTAAAAATGTTTCAGATAGTTCAAAGATGGTATCAGCCAGTATCTAGACATTACACATTAATGTGAAGTATTTATTAAAAATTAACCTATGAAAGTATAAGCCAAGATGTGCCTGAATATTAGGGTACTTCAAGCTGAAGCGCACACACACACACACACACACACACACACACACAAACACACCCCACACACACTTTGAAAATAGGAGTGTTAAAACAAAGGATAATGTATCTGATGCTTTGCTTAGTAAGATTCATTACTGCTTGGCCTAAATTTGTAGGACAGTATCTTTTAGGTTACATTAACCTGAAATTAAAGCATAATTGCTAGCATTCAGGCCTAAAATGTATAATTAAAATCTATGCTATATTAATGGTATTATGAAGGTCTAACTTATCTTTCATTTGAAATGCTGAAAACCATTGAGATGAGTATTTTAGTTTTCTTTTCAGCAAGGCTTTGGTGGTGGTGTAGTTATCTGAAGTAGGACAGTGTGTCAGACACAGGTAGGGTTCTGTTTCATTAATCTTCGGGGGAGTTTCGCACGTTTCCTTGCCTCCTCCCTCAACTCTGCAGTTTATGGGGGACAGACAGCTCCCTACCTAGATCCTTGAGGTCCTGGATGCAGGTACCTTAGCTGCTTAGATAGCTCTGAGATTGGCTTTTGAGTGCTGACGTGCAGAGTCACAGTAGAAAGTGGTACAAAGCTGTTTCTCCTCCTTCTCTTCCCTCTCTCTTTTCATCAAGATGAAGGCTATTGGGTAAGAAAAATTTTTAGTGATTTAACAAAACATTGATTTGAGCTTAGAAGTAAACCTAGAATTTTCTTAATGTCTTTTTATTGTAGGCATTTATGTGTATTTTAATGATCATAGAACCTGAATTGCTTTAGAATGTGAATGACTAGCCTTGTTTTATTTCTTCTGACTTTTGTTTTGTAAAGGATCTCCTGAGGAGCTCTCATTATAGAATTTAATATTGTGTGGTTACTTCCTTGAGTGGAAGATACTACTTACTATGCCAATATCTTAAGTTAAACTACAAGTATTAAATACATGTATCTTTTACATTTAGCCCAGGTACTGTAACCAACAGATTTCTTAGTTTTGGTGGATTGAGAGGTAGGTCTCTGCTATTGTGGCAGTTATAGATTTGATCATAATTCAATCAGTCTGGATAATGGAAGTTCACTTCCTAGCTTTTAATTGAAGTGGAGGAACATAGTGGGAGCCATGCGCTTAGAATGTAGCAGTAACATCAGAGGGAAACTGCACTGCAGGACTTAAAGGTTTGAGCATGTGACCTCTATCTTTTTGTTGGGGGGAACAGGGTATAAAAATACATATAGGAGATGTAGAATAGTTAATGGTGACATTTTATATGTATGTTTAACTTCTATGATATTTATTATTTTGTAGACATTTGTGATTGTTTGTTTTTATCATATTTATGTATAAGGTTGACTTTTTTTAAATAAATAAGCCAAAAATTCTTTTTAAATGCCTCTGTCATCTTTTGCAAAGAAAAATAATTAAAAAATAAAAACTTAAAAGAAGAAGAAATTTTTTACGCCTAACTGGTTCTGAAGGTGGCAGTGAGACATTTCAAAGCTAGAATACTTTACGACACAAAATATTACTGAGATTCCTCTTTGGTGGCAATAATTTAGGAGATACACAAGATGCATTTGGATGTACTGAATAAAGCAGAAACGTAACGGTTCTACTTAAAATAATTCCTTTCCCAGTTCATCACTATATTCCCCTGCCCTCCTTTTCATTCTTAACCCCACTTGCTCTTCCTTTCCTACCAGTTTTTTTATGCGTGTTGATTACATGAGTGAGCCTCTTTTTTCAAGTCAAGACTGATTCTCCCTGCATTGGTAACTAGGTATAGGGAGTTGTTTCTTTTGTCCATGTGTTGCCAAATTGTTTAAAAGTCCAAACATTGTATATGCTTTTAAATCTGAATGATGATTAATGTCTTCAAAACATAAGGGTGTTTCTTTTTTACCAGACTATATTTTTTTGCTTTTCTGAAAAGTTTTTAGTGTTTTAGATCTCATAGTGAATCTCTGTACTATAGTGTAGGTTCTATTTTGTTAGACATGAAAGGCAGTCATCACACAACTCTCATTTTCTACAAACATATATGCACATGATAATGTATAAGAAAGAAGACATCTTTGAATTAAAAATGTTAAGACATTTTTTAAACTTAGATTTTATAGTCCACTTTTACAGCTTTGGAAAATACCAGTTTTTAAACAAAGTTGATAATCTAAGCTCCTTAGAATTTAGGCTTATCTCTCATGTAATGGTCACTTGATCCTTGGATTTTCTCTTCCAATAGTGACATTTGACAGTGTATTTCATTTTTCCTTCCCGTTCATTACACAGATCTTACTACTCATGGAGGAAATATAGGATGCTATGTTTAATTTTAAAAGATCATGCTATTAATAAGTTTTACAATGAAATTTAAGGCTTTCATCAGTAGTCCATTTTATGTTGTAAGCAAACTCAAGTCCAGTTAACATCTTTCAAAAAGGTCCTTTTAGCAAGTTACCAAAGTAAGCATAAAGTAATGAAGTAACAGAATTCCTTTTGAACCCATAGTAAGGTCTTCTGGCATGAATTTATAGTCCTCTTCTACCCTTCCAGCCAAAGGTCATTCCAAATGCCCTATGTGGAATTTGTCTGAAGGGTAAGGAGTCCAACAAGAAAGGAAAGGCTGAATCACTTATACACTGCTCCCAGTGTGATAACAGTGGTAAGTATGGAGATGTCTTAAGATTTTTAACCCTACCCTATTTGTTGCTTCAGAAACTAGAATTTATAGTTGTCAGCTACTTTCAAAGGCTATCGGATGTACAGGATAACTTTTAAGGTAGAGACAAAGTCCATGTATTTTCTTCTACACAGTATTTTCATGTCTTTGGTGGTACAACATTATAGCCATTCCTGTGAAGTCCTAAAGCAAACTTTATTTTATTATGCCATTATTAAATTGAAAATTCTTTTATGAAATGCTACTAATGTTGGTTTTGATTTAGGCCATCCTTCTTGCCTGGATATGAGCATGGAGCTTGTTTCTATGATTAAGACCTACCCATGGCAGTGTATGGAATGTAAGACATGCATTATATGTGGACAACCCCACCATGAAGAAGAAATGATGTTCTGTGATGTGTGTGACAGAGGTTATCATACTTTTTGTGTTGGCCTTGGTGCTATTCCATCAGGTAAAGATTTTAAAAAGCACATTGTCTTAAGTAATAACTCTCCCAGCATTTCTCTTTTTAAGGCTGCATAAGCACTATAATGACACGAAGACATGGCCTGTAGACCCTTCTATTCAATCATGACTGAAGCTGCGACCAACCAGGTCATGTCTATCTGCTTTTCATCCCTAGACAATGCAGCTAATGGACAAATGAGATGTCAGAATGGCCAGGCAGAGTTTTGAAGTATAGTTCAATATATAGAATGAGCTGGTGTTTTTCTATTGAAACAGCTAGAGTAGTGCATCAATTTGTTTCAAAACTTTGTTTTTATTTTTATAAGTCATTTGTTTAGAAAAGTAAAGTGACTACTACACCTTTATACATATTAGAACAAATTTCTATTAACTGAGGCAGCATGACAATTCCAGGTAACTTTAGAATGAAAAAAGAATCAGAGTAAATCACAGTAATTACTACACAGATAATTGTGTATTTTTAACTTATTTGCATAGTTAACACTTTATAATACACTATAAAATATATGCTTAGAACTAAGTTTCCTGGGACTCATGTGGAAGCAAGCAACTTAATTATTCAACGTTCTGTAGTAATTCATATCAAGGATGTAATATAGCTTATCATTGTGCTGTTAAAAACTTGAAGTTTAAAAAGCTTTTATCAGCACAGTATACCAGGACTTGAGAGATGGCTGCTAGAGAGCTGACCAAAAGGCTGATAAAAGCCAAATTCAGTAACAGATTTTATGTTAGGATTTGTATTATTGAGCTTATCTTTAAGTATGATAGTGTTTGAATTTTAGGGAGGTTTACAGTAATTTTTAAAGATCCATATGATATGGCATTGCACCCCTTTACCCTGCACTGAATTTTTCACAGCATCGCTTGCATTGATTTCTAGACATTTACATTTTCTCCTTCATTTAAGGAACTTAGTAATGCTTTTCCTGCCAAATATCTGCCAGGTATTACCATTAGTGACAGTTAAGGAGTTTACACAGCTTAATATTCAATCCTGTAAAAATAAAATTCCACTCTATATTAACTAACAATTTTTCTCCTAGGTCGCTGGATTTGTGACTGTTGTCAGCGAGCCCCCCCAACACCCAGGAAAGTGGGCAGAAGGGGGAAAAACAGCAAAGAGGGATAAAATAGTTTTTTGACCTAAATGTTACATTCCTGAAGTGGAATATTTGGTGCCAATTTATTTACATTTTCATTTTTATGCCAATAAAAGATTTTTGAAATTAACTATGAGCTTAAAATCTGCAAGTTGACTTATTTTATTTTAAACTACTCTTTCCCTTGAGACTAATTCCAGGTAGAGAAATAGTTATCTTCCAAAAGATTTTTATCTTATAGTGTTTTGAGCTTATTCAAAAATTCAGTAGAAATACTTGGCAATTTAATTAAAAATACTTTAATTATTCCCCCATTAGCCTGAAAAGTTACTATTGTTTTTCATTAATTTTTCCTAAGTTGTATTGTTTCTGGCCAACCATAACTAGTATAACAACGTTATGTAACTGAAGAATTTTAATATGTGACCCAGGAATGAGAAGATGGTAAATGGGTTTGAAAGATTTGGTGCATGTCGGTTCAGAGTTGTCATTAATTGGCACAGGAACAAAAAGTTTGCAAGTATCTTAGTCCAGGACATTCTTTGGATATAAGGTTCCATATCCCTACTTAGGTAACAGGGTTGAGACTTTAGTCTGTGTTGCAGGAGGTGTAAATAAATGACTACATTTCTGACCTGATTTTAGGAACCCTTGAAAACTTAACAGGTTGAACTTTCAGAATGTCTGCAGTAAAATTATAGTTATCAACCTTTTAATCTAATCTGTGACTGCAATAATCTGTTTGACCAAACCTGAAAAACTAATCCGAATGTAGTTTAAACATTTTATTGAACATATCCTTTCACAGGAATTTTGATCTTTAAAAAAATACTATGATCCATTTTCCTATTTTGGGGGTAACTGAGGTAACAAAACCATATGGCTATTTTTCCATCCCTTGTCCACATAGGTAGCTAGAATTTCAACCAGATAAATGCAGCAAAATTCACAGCACACTGCAGTCATTTCTTCCAATTAAGGACAGTATTACTCTCCAGAGCATGCTCAAGGAATCAGAAAAGAATTTCAAGTACCAGTTTCAAGATGCTTATTACTATCGTCCAGAGAACGGACTCCTCCTCTTGCGATGCCTCCTCTGGAGCATAGGCGTGCTTCTGACCAGTGTCTGCACCATCTGAAGAGTATGCATCGCCCAGGGGGTACTGGTCCACCGTCCGGTCATAGTACACTTTCATCTCAAAGTCACTCTCTTGGTGGGACGGGTGTCCGTAGATGCCTATACCCACGGGGCGCTGGAAGTGCGCGGGAATGGCCACGGAGTCCTGGCCACAGGTGGCAGACTGCAGCTTGTAGTCATCGAAGCTTGGGTGAAGGGTACTGTCTGACACGTACAGGTCTGCATCGCCGCTCAGGCTCTGCATCCGCAGGATGATCCTGCCCTCGTGGTTGAGCCTCAGGTAGCTGTAGTTCCCGGCGCCGATCTGGCCGTGGACCACGTGCAGGAGGAGCCACTCTTCTGGCACGTCATTGTCGTCCTCCGCAACCTGGGCTAGGACCACGGCCTGGGAAGCCAGGAGCATCAGCAGAGCTCTCTGCCAGGGCGTCGCCATTGCCAGGCACTCAGCGCGGGGGCGTGCTCATCTGCAACCGCCTGGTCCCTGCGGGGACGCATAGGTGACAGGCGGACCACAGGGAAGTTCACCCAGGCACCCGCCGCCAGGCGCCCACGCGTCTGCTTAGGGGTCCCCGGTAAGGGGCTGCATAGAGGGGGAGGGAACAACGAGGTGGGGGAGACGAGAAGAGGGGAGAAGGGTGCGGGTAGGGGACAGCAAGGAAAGGAAGGGCGCAGGCGAGGAGATACTCGCGGGGAGGAGACAGAAAGGGAGGGGAGCGGCAGAAAGGGAGGCCACCGTCACTCACCGCAGCGCGGAGCCAACAGGAACCGGGCCGGACCGGGCCTCGCCCGAGAACGCCAAAAAGGGGCCGCGCCGGAAGCCAAGGGCCGCCCGGAAGCGAGGGGTCCCTCCTCTGAAAGCGAAGCCTCTCGCTCTCGCGAGAATGGTGAAGGGGCGTGGCGCTGCGGGCGGGGCTCGCTTTCTGGTAACCATAGGGACGCAATAGGCGCTGGTGGCCAGATAGCGCGGTAGTCTTTCTGGGGCTCCGAGGACTGCAGGGCTACAGGTGAGACAGCGGAGGATTTGTCTAGCTTGTGTTACCTTTATCTCTCTGTTCCCGTGGAAAACGTGATGCTCTGTGGACGCTCCTGGGGAAGGAACCCACGCTTGTCTGTCGGTCGCGCCTTGTGCTTCGGAGCGCCATGCGGCGGGGTCCTCGCGTGGAGGTGTTGCCGGGGCTCAGCTCTTGTCCCAGGTTGCAAGATCTGTTGTTTGTGTAGACTTGAACCCTTGCGGTCACCCTGTGGCCCTTTGTGCAGCCTGAACTGAGCCTCCTGCTGGAGACCCCCCCCCCCGCCCTTGGTCAGCCTTGCGCCACAGTCCTTGCTGGCTGGTTTAACTGAAATTGGGGGACTCAGCTTCCAGGGAGTGGCCACCACTGATGATTGGACATAATGGATGTGGCTCTGGTGGATCACTGTATTCTCTCCTGCTGGTCCTGGGCTGATAGGCAAGCAGTCCCAAGCAGGAACTGCTCATTTTATTCCCCTATTGAGAAAGTGTATCAGGTTGGAATACGTGAGAGTGGATACAACAATAGGGCTACTTTTAAATATGCTTTAAGTCATTACAAAAGAAAATAATTTTAAACTTCAACGTCGTAACTGTTAGGGTTAGTAAATGAGTTTTCCTTATGTCAGTCTCTTCAGATGCTGTGATATACCATAGACTGGATGCCTCATGAAAAACAGACGTTTGTTTCTCACAGTTCTGGAGGCTGGGAATCCAAATCAGGGCAGATTTGGCATCTGGCAAAAGCCCAATATCTCCTTCATAAATAGATGTCTGTCTTTTCACTGTACTCAGGTGGTAGAAAGGTGGATTGGGATTTGGAGAGCTCTTTAATAAAGGCATGAAACCCATCCAGGAGGCATCCGCCTTCATGACCCAGTCATCTCCCAAAGGCCCGCCTCAGAACATCAATTTGGGGGAGAGGTTCAACATGTAAATTTGGGGTGGGACATAGGCAGGCCAGGGCCATGTGTAACCTGTCACCATGGCACAAAAGTGGAAATTATTGTTTTGAGAACCGAAAGTCTAAGTTTAGGCTGTCGTGCGCTGGTTAACAAGAGTACAGTTTAAAAAAACAAAACAAAACATCTAAATATAAATGAATTCAGGGCCTTCACATGGTGCTACATCCCCAGCCCTTTTTCTATATTTTTATTTTGAAACAAGGTCTTCCTAATTACTAAGTTGCCTAGGCTGGGCTCAAATTTGCACTCCTCCTGCCTCATCCTCCTAGAGTATTTGAGGTTACTTTACAGGCGAGTGCAAGGGTAATGGTACCTTTAAGATATCTAATAATGTAGGAAAGAATTTAAAGATGTAGTAACACTGGGTATAACTTGGTTGTACTCTCACATATCTATCAGCTGTCATTCAATTTATAGTTATATTCTTAGTATTTAGTTCTGTCCTTAGAGTAGCTAGAATTGGAAGCCTGTTTCTCTCCTGGCTAATGTGGAGAACTTTATTTTGCTCTAAGTAAACCTTTAAGGGCACCTTTTTATTTTCCTTTCTTGAGTGGTGGGGATTGAACCCAGGGCTTCACACATGCTAAATAAGCACTTTTTCACTGAGCTATCTCTAGCCCCAACCCATCTTCAAGGGTACTTCCTGGTGCTTTTTGTCTTTTAACTACGGGAGTACAATGTGCTATGAACTGCCTTTTATGTTTTCCTAACTCACAAATATAACGGCATGTTTCTAGCCTGCTTAGCACTATGAGAGAAAGGCTTTGACCTTTTTTAATCAGAAGAAAGCAATTTTATTTAAAAAAATACACATATATACATAGGAAAAACTACGATGAAATGCATAAGGTTTTAATGTTGGTGCCTGCTGAATAGAAAATGTATTTTCTGCAATTTGTATATACTGTTTCTGTATCAGACAGAGGCTATTAAATGTATAGTTTCTAGTTTTCACGAGATGACTGCTTTTGTTTGCTGGTTTAACATTAAAACAATCTCTTTAAGTATCACTTATCACTGCATTTTCTGGAAATGCTTCCCTGGGTTATGGTTTAGAGCTAAAATGTCCCCCCAAAGTCTCATGCGTTCAGAGATGGGGCTGTTGGAAGTTGATTGGATCATAGAGATTCTTTACTGATCAATGGATTACTTTATTGATGAGTTCATAGCCGAAGATGCTATTAGAAAGTGGGGCCTAGAAGAGTGTATTCTTGTCCCTGGCTCCTTCTGTGTCTTACTGCTTCTGGCTGCCATGAGGAGAACATTTTCTGCCACCATATCCCTCTGCCATGATGTTTGTGCCTTGCAGCCAGCTGAACATGGACTTAACCCTCTGAAACTATGAGCCAAAATAAACATCTCCTTTAATTTGTGGCTGTGAGGTATTTTGTCCTAGAAAGTGAAAGTGACTGACATATCCAGCCTCAAATAAACTATAGTCTCGTGGAAAATAAATTAATGTCTCCTCTAAGACTTGTTCCTATGCATGTGCATGCATAGGATGTCTGTGGAGAAGTCCTGTTAAATGGGTTATCCCTGAGGAAAGTACAGCAGGGAGAGGAAGTAGGGATGGAAAATTCAATTTTACTGTATCTGCATTGTTTAAATGTTTTACTCTGCATTACTTTTGTAATTGAAAAAAAAGGTCAGACCACTCATATTGGTAAAGGTAGTGTAAATGGTGTCAAATAACCTGAGCAGAATAATAGTATATACCTTGGTCACAGGGTCCTCTGTGGCTATTTCAGTCAGATCTTTCTCTTAGGCAGCTCTCAAAGCTGTCACTCATAGATCTCCTGACCATTAATTGTGATGGGTCTGTGTCACTGGAATAAGAAACATCTAGCAAATTAGTAAAGCACAGTTTGGGTGTGTCCATAAGTGATTGACATGTAGGTCAGCAAACTGAGGAGGAAAGACCCACCCCAGCGGGGAAGATTGAACATCAAAGGGGAAAGAAGAAGAAAGTGTGTCTGTTTTGAAAAGCTCCAGTCTTTCTGTGTGTATGCACCCTTTCCTGACTTTGCCTTTGGACATCCTTCTCCAGGTCTCTGGTTTCTTCAGCCTTTCAATATAGACTCACACCTGTGCCCCTTCAGTCAGCTTCCAGGCCTTTGACCTTGGACTGTTGCTGAATCTTTAATCCCTGTCATTGTGCAGCCTTCATCTTCATAGCTCAGCAGCTACCAGATCTTCTGGTTCTCCAGCACACAGATGGCCATTGTGCTGTAAGCCTACCTAATCCCCTTGCATGATTATGTATATATAATAATATATAATTATATAATATATATATATTATCAATTCTCTTCTAGAGAACCCTAATTCAGACCCCTCTCCCATCCATTGTCCATCTCCCTTGGGCCTTCCAAAGTGTCTCCATTCAGCTAGTGGTTGGAGAAAGAGAGGAGTCTTATATGGAAGATATGGAAAATACCAAAAGGGTATTTTATATGGAAGACTTTTATGGACCAGGCTTGTAAGTGTATGCATCACTTATGTCCACATCTTACCTCTCCTTGCTGCCCTGGCCCGAACTCAGTCATATGCTGCCACCTAACTGCAAGAGAAGCTGGTTATTTGGGTTAGTTTTGTGTCCCCCAAAAAAGGGGAATGTTTGGTGGAAAATGAGCAGCCTGCATTCTGGTGGTTGTATAAACACACCTTGTCAGAGGGACACACCTGACCAGGTTGCCCAGCCTTATTGGCACATCTCCCCTCATTATGCAGTTCTCCACTGGGCCTAGGTGTGGTTCCTCATGGTCCTAAGACCTGTGAGCTAAGAAGACATACTGCTGGCTTTCTTTGCCAGGGTGCAGCAGTGCATGTGACCAACATTATTGTAACAGGTTCTCTTTTAGAAAGAGGGTTTCTATAGAGGCTGGTCCATAGTAGCTCTGAAATCCTTTGGGTAGAGCTGGGAAAACCCAGGTTTTGTCTCTGACCATTATTTTCTGAACCCTTGGTTCACCCTTGGCTGTTTTCTTTCCATAGGCCCATCTGATGTGGCCAATGAAGACATGTCCTATTTGCTTCTGTAGCTTACCTCCTGGAGCCACGGGCTCAGGCTAGAACTGGTCTGTGGAGAGCTGTCAGCGCACTTTTACTCTCTGGACTGCATTTTTTGGCTTTTGAGAGCATAGTGGGCTCTAGGCAGTTTGTATCGCCTTAGCTGAGAGGCTGATGCCTCCTCCATCATCCTTCCTTGTCTCCCCCTCAAGCCTGTTTTTTTTTTTTTTCCCTTTAACACACTTGTTTTCCTGGTGGCCAATAACTGCAGTTAGGTGAAACTAAAGGTAACCACCTATTATGGCCTATCTCTAGATGTCTCCCCAAAACCTCACACAAACATAGGTAGGGATTTTCAGAGTGATTGATCATGGGTATGTGATACTGGATCATGGTGTGAAACTGTATTAGTGCATTGATTGGTTTAGCATAGTTTTAGGTGTGATGATGGACTTACTGAAGAGGGAAGACTCATCCTGGGTGTGAGTGGCACCAACTAATAGGCTTGTAGCCTGAATGAAATAAAAGAAGAAAGAAGGAAGGCTGCTGCCTCCTGCCTACTATGCCATGGACTGTTTCTCCTCTGTCATGGTGCCCTGATTTGAAACTAATTGACCATGGACTGAAACCTCCACAATAAACCAAAATAAATTTTCCACATTTAACTTGTGGATATTGGGTATTTTGTCCCAGCAATGAAAAAGTAATTTAAGACATCATGTTGGTCTTATCTTGCTAGGAGGCTGAATCCTGATGGCTCTCCCATGGACACCTGAAAGTATTTGGGGCCAATTCCTGGAGTGCTCTCCCGTGTGTGTGTGTGTGTGTGTGTGTGTGTGTGTGTGTGTGTGTGTGTGTGTGTGTGTGTATGTGGGTGTGTGTTTTGGTGAGAGAAACTTCTGGAAAATCAGAATATTCCTGCAAGGTGGCTAGTTCCAGAGAAACTAAATCAATGAAAGAATCAGTAGTTTCCTAGGAAACTTATATGTTTTTGGTGTAATTTACTAACAGAAAAACTAAGTGAGTTCCTAGTTATATTTATTCCTTTTCAATTATGCTTCCCTTACATATAATAGAAGTACTAAAATTCATATAAGTGCTGCAGGCCTTTGTTACTGTATGAATTGCCCTTGACTTTGGTCACACACTGAGTTCTTCTTGATTTGGATAACAGAATATATCCAGTGTGCAGATTGCCATCCAGGAGGAAAACAGACTTGTGTCTGTTTATGGAGGTGCTCATGACATTCTGTGGTATACACAGATCTGAAACTGCTCAATCAGGAGAAGCTTTCCTGACAGTTCAGACACGGCAGAGCCTAGATCACCAAGGCCCCTCATGGCCTCTTCCCTTCCTTCTGTGACTGCAGGCCCAGTCCCATCAACTAATGTTGTTGAGTGTGCAGTGAATATGAACTTTAGGAAAAGCTGACTCTAGGAAAGGTCCCAAGTGGCTTGCAGCCTAAATTCAGTGTGGAACCTCAGAACACTTTTAGGATGTGGATCATGCATAATCTATGATTTTTATTTTTTAATTTGTAAAAGAAATATTGAGACGAGGTTTCACAGTTGCCCAGACTGGTCCCAAACTTGTAATCTTCCTGTCTCAGCCTCCTGATTGGCTGGGATTACAGGTGTTCACCACCATACCTGGTTGGGAACTTATGTGCCTTGGGGTACACTTTTGAAAGCTCTTCACTGAAACAAAGGCTCCCTTTTTATCTTGAGTCCTTTCTTGGTGAATTTTTGTTGAAGTGACGATGCTTCAGGTGGAACTAGTTCTGAAGCCCTTGGACACTGGACAGACTGGTGTGTGGTCAAGAAGAACCTGTATGGTTATCTTGGCAGCTCAAGTGCTTGCCATTCCTTGAGGCACAGTGCTATTGGGAGGGGAAGGCACAGGGATATCACTGGACCACACTGCTGGACTCATACTTCTGGGCTTCTGAGCACTATCTTGTCCATGAAGTCTTCTTCTTTGTGACAACTGGCCAGCCAATTGTTCTCCTTGTTGGGAATCCCCTAAAATTAGATGAGTAAGGTGCACTGGCAGCTGTTTCTTTAACCCCAGAATCATACTCGCTGACTGCCTCATCTGCTACTTCCAGATGGCTTTGCAGCTGTGCAGCAGGTGCTCAGCAGGTACACTTGGCAGGTGGACAACAGATGCTCAGCAGGTGTGCTTCACAAGTGTTCACCAAGTGTGCTCAGCAAATGCTTAGTTGCTCAGTAGGTGTGTGGAGGGGGCTGATACCCATGGGGCCAGCATGATGACCTGCAGGGTGACTAGCATGGTGATCAGGCAGGGAAGGCCTAGTACCCTCTCTGGCATCATGGCCATGAATATAATGGCCAGAAAGTTGAGTCTGTATTCCAGCTTTGTGAGGAAGGCTCTAGCCATGTCTTAAGTCCTTCTGTCCTGCAGTGGGTTGGAGAAATGACTTCCAGGTTAGTGTCTATGTGTCTGAAGTTACTGTGTTTATGAAAGCACTAAGAGTAAAGGGGAAAAAGTCTGAATCCTTTATTTTCAAAGCTTTATTTATTCTTTGTTGAGATATAGCCAGTGAATCACTAGTTATAATACCCAGGGTAACCTAACATTATGGGAGAAAATGCTATAAAATACTTGAATATATGCCAGGCTGGCTGGAAGAGAGCTGGACTGCCTCGCAACTTCCCATAAGCTGCCCTGTGTGGTCAGATGGAAGGGAGCTTTGGCATAGCAGTTAGTGTTGGGAGCCATGATTCTGAATGCTGTAGTCATCACATCCAGTAGACCTAGTGCAGGCCTCACTTATGAGCTCGAGCTCTTGCTTCACGGTGACGGGACAGAGCAGGTTGTACAAGGCTGTGGAGTGAGCAGCCGGGGCTGGATCTGTGATGAGAGTGGATGTAAATAGTGGACATTTATCTATATTAAAGATCACACCTATTGTCATCTTATGTGCACTTTGTGTTTTCAGATTGAAGATGGAAGAACCCCAAGGGATTTCCTGGAGTGCTATCTGCGAGAGTGACATAATAACAGAAAAGTACCCAGTTGACTCCAAGAAACATGCACCTCATGTGCAGCTGGCTTGCAGTGTGTAGTTCTGTGCCTTCCCTGTAGATGGAAATCAGCTTTGGGTGTGGGGCCACAGGGGTCCTCCACACGGGGTACTTAACAATCTGTGGGTGTTTCTTAAGTCTGTGTCTGCATTTCTGTGATGCTGTTTGGGCAACATTTTCTTCTGTAGATTCAGCTACCAACTATGGGAGAAAAGTATTGATAAACCATTACATTAAGTTCTTATCTTTAGAAAATAAACTACCTGGAATTTCTTTATTTAAAAACGCCTTTGGTACAAACATGAGGAAGAAAAATTTTGCCATAACACAATGTAGACTCCCTCATTCACATCACCAGCTTGATCTTTCTCTGCAGTGAAACACAAGATACTTAAGAGAAAAATCTTCTTCAGGAAGTGCACACCTGGCAACCTGCCCAGGCCTCGCCTCCTGTTCCACTACCCAACGAAGGCAGATCCATCTTAACTTCCAGAGACAGAGTCAGCTTGCTCTTGTTGAGCTGTAAGTGGTGCTGTGCACCTTGTACTTTTCCAGCTAGAGTCTTGTACATTCAGCATTGTGTTTACAAGGCTCATATCACTTTCCCTTTTCACTGCTGTATAGTACACTGTTGGAATAAATCACAGCCTGCCCATTCTAATGTATGTAGACATTTGCTTTATTTCCTTTTTTTGGTTGCTACAAATATTCCTTTATATGTCTGATGGTGAATGCACATGTACTATTTCTGAGTTTCAGGGTGTGTTCACTTAGACAGTGCCAAGCAGGTTTGCCGGTGATGGTACCAATTGGGTGCTATAGATAGTATGTGAGAGCTCCATGCCTCACAGCCCTCAGATGCTGAGTCTTTTCATTTTGGTCCTGTTGTGGGGCAGGTGGATGTCATGCTACCTTATTATAATTTGCAGTTCCTTAAAGCTTGACAATGAGTGAGGTCCACCACTCTTTTGCACACCTACTGGCCATTTAGATATTTACTTTTGTCATGTATGTGTGAGTGTGTGTGTGTGTGTGTATGTGTGTGTGGTGTTGGAGTCTCTTGCCACTTTCCTACTGGAACATCTGTACTTTTCCTTTTGGTTTGAATAAGTTCTTTGTATGTTATAAATAATAACAGCTTTCTGTCACTTTAGATTAGTTTGCAGTTTCAGAATAATTATTTTGAGATTCATCCACATTGTTGCATTTATGAGCAGATCCTTTTTTTTTTCTTTTCTTTTTTTTTACTATTGACGGGCATCCCATTATATGATATACTGTATCTTGTTTATTCTTTTTCCTATCGGTGGACATTTAGGTTATTTTTAGTTTTGGGCTATTGCAAATCAAATAGTATGGATTTTTTATGTTTGTGTCTTTTTCTCTGTAAATGTCAGTTGGGTCATACTGGCTAACAGTTTTCCTTAAGTTTCCTACATTCTTGTTGATTTTATGTTCACATATTCTATCAATTACCGAGAGAGAGGTGTATTTAAATCTGTAACTCTAATTGTGAATTTGTCTGTTTCCCTCTTCTAAAATTTTGTTCATTGTATTCTGAAACTCTGTTGTGGAACATATATGTATTTAGTACTTTTTATGTCTTCTTGATTCATTGACTCCATTTATTCTAAGTGACTTCTTTATCCTTGGTAGTATTCTTTGCACTGGCATCTCCCTCGGCTACTTTCTGTTCTCAGTAGTATTAGGATGCTGTATCCTTCATCCCCCGCCCCCCCATCCTTTATGTCATTATTGCTATGCATTTTTCTTTTGTATGTGTGAAAAACCTCCCAATACAAGACACTGAAGCAACAGGAAAACATCGCACACATTTACAAAGGCAAGAACATTTTGGTGCTCCTCAGTTTTGTGTAGATGCATATTTCTAGCTGATAGGATTTTCCTTCTTCCTAGAGCAGACATGCTGATAAATTATCTCAACTTTTATCTGCCTGAAAATTTCCTTATTTTGCTTTATTTTGAAAAATATTTTTACTAAATAGAGAATCCTAGATTGACATGTTTTTCAATATTTTAATATGTTGCTCTACTGTCTTTCCAATGACAAATATGTCGTTATTTTTATGAATTTAGTGTGTCATTTTTTTCTCTGGCTGCTTTTAAGATTTTAAATGCTCACTAGTTTTGAGCAATTTGATTGTGATATGTTCTGGTGTAATTTTTTTATATCTTATTTTTGAAGTTCTATGAAATTATAGTTTTCATCAAATTTGGAAAAATTTCAACCATTATTTCTTTAAATATCCCCTCCTCAACCTTTCCATGTTCCACTTACATATGTGTTAGGCCACTTCAAGTTTCCTACCACTCACTAATACTCTTTCCATGTTACGTCTGTGGACTTATCTCAGTATGTTTCATTTTGTACAATTTCTACACATTCAATTATTTTTTCTTCTGCAATGTATGATATGATATTAATTCACTGAATTTGTTTTTCATCTCATTTTAGTTTGCATCTGTAGAAGTTAACTGTCTTTTCTTCATACTTGGGTTTAAACCCAAGGCCTCAGGCATTCTAGGCACATGGTTTACAACTGCACTACAACTCCAGCCTTTTTTTTTAAAACTGGGTCTCACTAAGTTGCCCAGCTTGCATTGAACTTGTAATCCTCCTAACTCAGTCTCCCAAGTAGTTGGAATTACTGGCATGTGTTGCCTCACCTTGCTTAGATTCAGTTTAAAAAAACAATCTTCTATGTATCTACTTAACCTTTTGAATGTATGGGAAAAGCTGTAACTTTTTAAACATTTTTGTCTAACTTTTGGTCAGGTCTGGGCTATTGTCAAGTTCATCTTTATAACTGTGGCATTTTTCTTTGGTGCCTGGTTTCTCTTTATTTTTGATCAAATGATCTTGTCTCCTTGAGTACCTGCTTACTTTTGATTGAATGCTGGGTATAATATATGAAAAAATATAGCATTAATTTCAAACTCTGGGTGATTTCATCTTCTTCAAAACAGAGTATAGGTTTGCGTCTGGTTGTTGCTCAGGCTAAGGGAATGTCAACAGTCCCAGACCACCCTGTCCTGGTTGTAGATCCAGATAACTCATAGCTGGCTCTAGTGTTTGTGAGGGCTTTTCTCTTTTCAGTTGGCCTTTGCTCTTTGAGTTTTATACTTTTTAGGCTCCTGTTCCAAACCTGAGGATTATTGATATATTCCATCCACTCATCTTAGTATTCCTAGCAGAAATTTGTTAAAATCCTTCCATACTGTTTTAGAAAAATGCAGAGTTCCCAGCATTAAGTCACTCAACTCTATTTCAGAAGTATTGTGGAAGTGACAGAATTCTTTCCATTCTCTTAATAGGATATTTTTGCTTATGTCTTGAAAATGATGCATTTGAATATACCATTTTGTGCTTTTAGCTCCATAAATGTCTCAGGTTTTCAATAGCATTTTCTGGAATATCAGAAAGTTGACTTTATGGTACATGTCTTCATGACACAAGTGCCCTCAGGTTTTCATGATGTCTTAGGTTTTCAATAGCGTTTTCTGGAATGTTGGAAAGTTGACTTTAAGGTACATGTATTCATGGCACAAGTGCCCTCAGGTACTGGGATCACCTCCTTCAGTTTTCTTCTATGTGATCTTAGTATCATAATTCTCTAGCACCTTTGTTGCTTTCTGATGCTTAAAAATGTTGTTGTCATTATTATTATTATTATTATTATTTATTTTTTTTTTTACAAAATTTTCCACTATTTTCATCCAAAGGATTGGTGCAGATGAACCAGCCTGCTATGACCAGAAGTGGAGCTTTCCTTGTCCTCTTTAGAATAATGGTCTTTGTTGTTTATCTGATGTCAACTTGCATATATGTCTGTTTACCATGGATAAAATAGTCATGATCTGTCTGAATCTCTTCCTGTCTTCATTTGTGTTTCCTTTCTTTTAATAGTATCATTTCAGTCTATTGCACTGAAGCCATGTGTGTTGTCCTTTCCTCTGTCCTTCTGTGTCCATTGGTTGTGGAGTCTTCCATCCATCTGCTTCTCTATCTCCGTCACAACTGCTCTATCTGGGCTTGTATCATGTCTTCCCTGAAAATTTTGCACATTCCCATCTGTTTCCCTAGCCCACTGAATCCCCCTTTAGTCTCTTCTCCACACTTGTATGTTATGGTTTATATCTAATATCCCCTAAAAGCTTCATGTACTCAGAGGCAGGGCTGGTGGAATATGTTTGGATTGTGGGGGGTGTTACAGCTGGCTTGGTGTCGGGAGATGGGGTCTGGTCAGAAGTGACAGGTCTCTGGGAGCGTGACCTGGAAGGGAATAGCTCCCTCCTATCCCTTCCCTTCTTTCTCTGCTTCTGCCTGTCATAATGTGAGCAGCTTTTTGTCCACTGTGCCCCTCTGCCATGCTGTTTTCTGTTTGGTGCCTGCAAACATGGACTGAAACTTTTAAAATGTGTGCTGAAATAAACCTCTTCTCCTTTAAGTTGCTGGTGCCAGGTATTTTGTCCCAGCACTAATAGCGACTAAGACATTGTAGCAGTGTTTTATTCCTCTGCTCAAACACCTTTGCTGGCCTCCATCGCCCTAGTACGCTGTCCAAACTCCACATAAGTGTCAGCACCATGCCTTGTGGCCCCTGTCTCCAGCTTCAAATGGGTCCCTGCAGGAGCCCATTTGCCTCCCAGGCTGGGTGTTTCCTCCTGGCTTTGCTGATTCCTCTGTAGCAGTCCACTCAGCTGATCCCTCTTCTGCATGAAGTGAGGACTCCTCATGCATTTGTTTATCAACAGATTCCAGAGAAGGGGAGGAATGATGTCACCTGCATCACTATGTCAGTGAGCAGTTCTGAGTGACAGTGGCATGACTAACCTGAGAGGATTGTTCAGGAGTACATAAGCCAGAATTTTAATGGAATTCAAAATGAGTGCATGAAATACATGTATTTGATAATTTTAATCTGTTTAATTTCCTAGGTTTGAAGTTTTATTTTTGTTCTTTTATTTTTAGATTATATGTGTAACTTTGATAGTTTTGTTTCTAATTTTTCAGCTTCTAATCCTACAGGGGCACCAGCAGTCAATTACTGCTATTGCTTTTGGAAATCGAGAGACCCCACCGCTCATCTGTTCTGCATCTCAGGATGTTATCATGATGTGGAACCTGGATGGGTGCAGAGAAAAGGTACTTCAAGGTAAACAAAAAGGCACAAGTCATTTTAAAAAATATTCAGAAGGAAAGACACACCTGTAAACTTGGTGTCATCAGGGTTGTGGGTGGTTTTCCTCCGCAGCTGTGAGGCCGGATGTCTGATACACCTCCTGTTGGCTTTTCTGACTTTTGCTGTGGTACATGCTGACATAGCCTCAGGGGCTTTATTCTTCTGAACTTTCTCATTTTAAACTATTTCATGGTGATTTGAAGATGTGTAGCAGGCTGGAGTGTTTCTTACACATGAGAGTCTTGAGGCCTCTACTGTGTGCTGGGCTGGAGACTCATAGTTCTGGGAGGAGAGGCCGTAGAGAGGCTGTAGCAGCGAACCTGCTCAGAGTGTCAGGCAGGCAAAGTGTGTACCCAGGGAACTCCAGGGTTATGAAGTGGGAGCGCAAACATGGGGTGGGATAGGGAACGTAGGGCACAAGTGTCCTCTTGTTACTGAGAAGCTGCGTTGTAACACAGTGGGATCCTAACCGCCAGGGAACTGCAACACACATTGATTCTTTGTATCTTTGACAAACCATTTCAGACAACACACATAGGGCGTTGTATATAGGTAGAGTTTATTGCAAAATAACAGAGAAAGAGAGAAAGAAAACACACCTTCAGGTACAAAGGTGAGCAAGTGCCAAGATGGTAGTTGCACTGAATGAAGTCTCAGGTTACATTTTTATGATTAACTGGGTCTCTTGAGGAATATCCTTTCTTTCCTCTGAGGTCATTGTTCTTGTACAAATAAAATGGGCTGTGTTGACCTGGTTCAGAGAGAAGTAGGTGCCTGTTTGCTTCTTAGGTGGATGTCTTTAGTTTGTTTTGAGACCTTGAGATTTTTCTAACTCCTCCCCCATGCTTTGGACTTTGTACAGGCTCTGAATCTTGTCTGCTGTTTGATTTTGTAATATTTCCTTTCTCATAAGTTGATTCCCTGGGCAGTGTCATTCAGGGCTTTCTAAGAATATCAAGCAAGTCAAGGGCTCTATATAACATCCTCCAATACCACAGAGGGGAAAAAAATAAGAGGCCAGATGATCAAACCATTGAAACATACAATGTGTCCATCTTTGTTGTGACACAGGGAAGTAGGTTGGCAGGGCTGCCAAGAATATTTATTCATCACTGTTGTATATAGGGAGAACCCAAGGTGCAGCAACCAATCCAGCCAGCGGGCAGCCAGGATCATAGATTACTGCCACAGAACTACTGAGTGCCACCGGGCAGCCCAACACATTTTAGGGCTTGAAAACCAATCAGTAATAAAGCAGTCTTTCGCTTGTATGTTGACATTGCTCGGGGGAGTCCAGCCCAAATATTTGGTAGCACTGGGCAAGGCATAATGATTTTGTTGTTCCCAGCGAAGAGGAGCCATCTGACTATGGAATCCTGTAGTGGGGGTGAGCCGTACATAGTCATCCTGTATTTAAAAATGTCCATCCTTGTTGTGAAGGTTATTATTTCTGACCACAGTAAGGAATGGACCTTTTGAAAGGCGAGGCACATCATCTCTTCAAATGATGGCATCAGTTTCATTCTTTGAAAAGGTTTTTCCCTGTCTTTTGTGGTCCAGGGTTGAATTTCTGGGCCATTAGTGTGTATCTTTCTGAATGAGTGGTATATGTAATATCACAGACTGTTTTTGCTCTGCACTTATAGCCTTGTAATTTTTTCCAGTCATGGCACTGATTTATTCCACCATGGCAATCCTGATGTGCGGGAAGTGGGGAGGAGCCCCCATATCCAACATGCATCACATTTTACATCCTGAGCATATTGCTTAACCCAAACAAGAAAGTAGTCTTCTTTAGTGTAGCAAATTAGAGACAAAAGCCTGTCAGAGGCAAAAGACAAAACATAGCTACTCAAAAGAAATGGTAATTGAACTACTTTTGTGAGCTCATATCTTCTGGAAGCACAAATGAAAAAGAGGATAATTATAAGAAAGATGTGATTAGGAGAATACTCAAGGCACATGTAGCCCTCTGCTGGAAGGTGGCTCTGTGGGTGGAGTGAGGTTGGTTGGGGCAACTTTGCTAGGTGAGACTAATAGGTTAGGTAGGGCCATGTCTAGAGATTTGAGTGTGTGATGTAGGGTTACTCTGAAAACTGGGGAGTAATTACAGAACTGTAGCAGTCATACCTTCATCTCCTTTGTACATGACCACTCCTATGTAACCTCTGGTGAGCAGGGTCACGTGTGTATGTACTTACCTGCTTGCAGAGACATGCACAGTCAGCCCTGGATTCTGAGTTGCTGCCCTAGATCGCTGTAGAAGACAGCCCCTCCTTCCAGCCTGCACTCTGGGTTCCTTAGGAAAGTGGCCTTCAAAAGCTACAAGCCATTTATGTGGCCACAGTGGCTGGAACAGAAACTAGAACCTTGGGTATGTTCTGGAGAGCTGGAGTCCCAGAGCCCGAGGGCAGGAGCCATGCCCTTCACTTGTATGTTGGTGGATGACTGATGAATCCACAGTGTTCCTTGATTTGGGCTTGACTTGGACAGCTGAGTGTAGTTACCACCTTGACTGTGCTATGGCTCGTCAGTTCCCAGCCCTCTGAACCTGGTGGCTACTTGCTCCAGGTTCCCTTGGTGGCTTCCTTGTTTTCCAGCCTTGAGCATGAGCTTTCCTCTTTCCCATCAAAATTTCCCCTTGATGATTTTACATGAACCACTGAGTAGTGACAGTGTTTGCATGATGTACAGCCAGTCCTGATTATGCCCCTGGGGGATTCCTGGACATTTCCCCTGAAGTCCAAGAGCATGGCAAGCTTCCAGTGCTGATCTCTGTCCTCACACAATCCCCTCTTTCTGCTTTCCCATCTCGGCTCACCCTAGCTCTGTCCTGCCTGGACAGGACAGAACCATAAGGTTGTCCCCTCACACCCACATCCATTTCACAGGTGAATTCTGTCTACTCTGCCTTCATAGCATGTCCAGTTTCTGGATGTTTCTCACACTTCCCAATCTGCATCCAGGCTCTGGCCACTGAATCTCTCTTTTGAACCTTGCACTGGCCTCTCACTGCTTTTCTCTGCTAGCCCTGAATCTTACACTGGCCCCTCACTGCCTCTCTCTGCTTCCATTCTCCATGCTGCCATTTTGTTCTCAACCCAGTGGCCAGAGGGCCTTTTAAAAGTCAGGCTGCTTATCTGGTACCCGTGCTCAAAGCCCACAGGGCTAGAGTAGTGCCCTCAAACTACAGGCTATACCCAGCCTGGGGACAATGTATCTTAGTCTTGCTGGAACTTACATTTTAGAGTCACTGCCTGCTTTGTCCTACCCTTCACATCTAGGCCCATATGTCTTATTGCCATGGCCTTTCTTGGTACCACCTAGCACCTGATCCCCTCCTGCTGGCCTCTTCCCACAGCATATACTTCCTTTTAGCAGTTTCGGGAACTCATGTGCCTCCCTGTCCTCGCTGTCTGTGCCTCCTGCTCACCTGCTATGTTAGAGATTTCTATGAGGGCAAAGCCCTCTATCTGGTCACTGTTGCCAGTTTCTAGAAAGAAGCTAGTGTGGTACAAGAGCCATGGAGCAACCCCATAGGATGGCCTGGCCACAGCCAGGATTCACATATGTGTATTCCTTTTCAGGGCCTTGTTGTCTAAATACTTGTCCCTGCTGCACAAAAGGGCCTGACGATGGGAAACTTGTCCTCTTCCCACAGGTTGTGGGCTGCTGGATGTGTTCCACTCAGAGCTGTAGGTCATCTGGGCCAGCTTTGTCCATATGCTTGTCATCCTCAACATGGGACACTGAGGCTCACTTGGAAATGTCCTCGTGGGGGTGCAGAGCCCCAGAGGCAGAGGCTCTGATGGCACACTGTCTCTCTGCCTGCCCAACATGACAAGAGCAGGTCACATGGAAGAACCTGGGTTGAACACAGGGAGAAGGACTGGGGCATTCAGCTTTTGTTTGATGTGCTCTGAATTCTTGCAGCCCAGGCAGAAGAGACCTGTGCTTGATGATACCAAGCTGCCTCCCTGTGTTGCAGAATTCTTTTTTTTTTTTTTGGTACCGCGGATCGAACTTGGGACCTTGCACTTGCAAGGCAGGCAGCGGAACCACTGAGCTAAATCCCCGCCCGTGTGTTGCAGAATTCTAAAAGGACAAGAGAGACCACTGGAAATTAGGAGGATTTTTTAGGTATACACCTGGCCCAGCTGAACTCGTGTCCAAAGAGCTGGGTGATTGAACAAAGGAAAGTTCTAGTTTTTTACAGATGCCTCTCCAAACAGCTAGAGGACCCATCTATTATGATATGGAAGGCAAAATTCAAGGGGGACAACAGACCTTGGTCTACTACCCCTTCTCAGTCACTGATCTCCTAAATTGGAAACTCATACTGCCTCCTATACAGAAAAGCCCCAGCCCTCATAGATTTCATACAATTCATTTTCCAGACACATAATCCAACCTCACCCGATTGCAAACAGCTTCTCCTGATTGTTTAATACCAAAGAGCAACAGAGAGTGACCCAAACAGCCATCCACTGGTCAAAAAACAATCGCTCAGAGAGTGTGTTAAATGTACAAGCATATGCTCGGGGTCAGTTCCCAGATGCTGACCCAAATTGAGATCCAAAGAATGCAGAGCAATTAAAAATCTTACAGACACCTGCCTCAAAAGCGCAAGGCCCAAGTTTGATCCCCGGTACCAAAGAAAAAACTCTTACAGAAGTACCAAGAGGTCTCAAAAAGGGCAGAAAAAAGACAATAAATATGAGAAGAACTCAGAAATAGTCCAGGAAACAGATAAAAGTCCCAGCCAGTTCTACAAGAGACATTGTGAAGCGTTCTGGCTCCATACCCCATTTGACCCCGAGGCCACTAAAAAACAGCATATGGTAAATGCAGCCTTGTGGAACAAGCTCGGGGAGGCATAAGGCAGAAATTGCAAAAGTTAAAAGCCCTTGCTGCCATGAATGCATCTCAGATTTTAGAGGTAGCAACAAAGGTATATATGAATCGGGACCAAGAAGCTAAACAAGAGGCTCATATGAAGCTCAAAAAAAGGAAACATCTGTTGGAAGTGGTGCTTATGGGGAAACAGGTAGAGGTCACCAAGTGGCAAAGATATAGACATAAACAGAACAAGGGCCAAACCAGGCTAAGATTTGCTAATCAACCAAAGCCAGATTGAGAACAATGTGTGTGATATAAAAAGTATGGCCCAGAAAATGATGACTGAGATGATGATAAAAATTCCAATGTTTAAGAGCTGCCGCATGTAAAAATTTGCTTATGAACTTTACTGAACTGCCTCGAGCTGGTGGCTATCAATGTATGTTGATGCTTGCCTACACCTTCTCAGGATAGACTGAAACCTTCCCCACCTGAACAAAAAGATACAAGAGGTGACCAAGATGCTGTTGAGACATCATCCCAAAATTTGGACTACAGATAAGATCTCCAGATAAGAGATAAGATCAAGTCCTGCCTATGGTCCTCCTCCAAGTCCAGTTACACCCCCACAAAACAAACTGGGCATTCTCCTCATGAGATTCTATTTGGCCAGCCACTCCCCAATCATAGGTCAAATTAAGGATAATTTTTATAAACTAGGAAAATTACTCCTGAGAAAACAAATGCCAGCTTTGAGAACAGCCATGTAAGATATCCATGGTTGGGTAAAAAAAAAATGCCCATAAGCTTAACAGACCTAGTACACCCATTCAAACCTGGCGACTTTGCTATTAATGTTACTGTCTTAGATCTACCACAGTCAGCTAAAGCCAACAGCCCAAGACAAATGAACCAGCCAGCAGGATCCAGACCATCAGAACCAGCTGATCCTGCAACAAGGTCAGGCCACCACCAGAGACAACAGCCCTGCTCTAGTCACTCCAGAAGCTGACTAGTCTACACATGGGAAAAGCCTGAGGAAACAACAGCCTGGAAGCTAACCAGTCCACACAGCCAAAGCTTAAGGATCAACATAAGTTATAACTTTCCTTTGCCTCTTACCCCTACTTGTCAAAAATACTCAGTTGGCCACTCTGATAGACATACCACCACTCAACTGATGGCCTTAACCAAGTACCAACCTCTGCTCAGTAGGTTGTGCTAAGCATCCCATTGTGACAAAAAAAACCCACCCAATAATAATGATAAAGATGATGCTCTCTAGTAAAACTTGTTATAGAAAGCATAAAAGGGGGGAATAAAATCAGATTGATTAGAAGAAAATTATTTATTATTATTATTATTATTATTATTATTATTATGTAATATGTCTTTAAGCAGGGCTGTAACCAGACTGGTCAAGTCTGGACTATATTTAACCTGGAGTCAATGTAAGGAAACTGATCTGGATAACCTAGTCGTTCTCCTTCACCAGTTACCACCCTATACACATGCCTATTCTATCAATGGTTCCTTTGGTCAGCCACCCTACATCAAAGTGAAGTAGGAGAAAAGGTGGGGTACTCTGACAGACCTCTGACACACAAAGTAGGGGCAAACCGGCTTTAATGCGAGCAGCTCAGTGTGTGACTCCTGTCAGTCTCCAGAGCCCTGAATACAAGTTTGCTCTTCTTTATTTACTTCTTTTTATATTCATGAGGCTTAATCTCATTGGAATTTCCTTGGGAATATAGCAAGCAGGATTTGCACAAAGCAGAGCAGTGGGGTGGGGTAGGGAGGCAAAGAGTTCTGGCAGGGCTTTCTGAGTCTGTTAAGCTCCTTTGGTGACAGATTACAGAAATTATCATGGTTACTCAGGTGCATTCCACAAAAAGCATAGTTTCCCAGTTAACCTATAGTTATCCAATTACACAGTTAACCCATAGTAGTCCAATTCCATATGGAGGGGTGGTCTCCTCTCTCAAAAGGAGGGCCAATCTATTTCACAAAGAGTTTTCAACCTCTGAGGGATCAGCTTTATTCCATAGTCCCCCATATAGCTTCTTTTAAAGTTCTTTAACGTATCCTAACGGGGTAGGTTTTGACTCTTCTTCCATATCTGCTCTGTTGTAATGCAGTCACGCTCTCAAGTACTTTCACTTTAGGAACAGTCTGAGCTCTATCAGATTAAACAAGAGGTCATACATATTTTTGAGTCTTTTGAGCAACCAGAAGTTTTTGGAAGGAACAGCATGGGCTTTTACCAAACCAACAAGTAAATATACATATTTCCTTGATAAATCACACCTGCACACTTTCTCAGCTTGTGTAAATGTTCCAGTCTTGTTATTATCTCTTTATCCTTTTAACAAGATAAAATGTTTATTATTTAAAATCCTCTCATATCAGAAATATCTCTTGTACTTATAGCCTTCTTAATATTTTTTCTGTCTCACTATAAACCTTTTATAATAAACTTGGCTGTAGCTGCTTTTATTTTAAAGTGTCCCTTTTTTTCCTTTTTTCTGTTTTCAGATGGTTATATTTTAAATTTGACTGGCTGTGGACAGAACAGTAACCTTGAATTCTTTTCTTAAATCAAGAGTAGAGAGAAGAGCAAATTTACCCTAGAATTACAATTCAAGAATTTGCAATATACAAGAAATGTTTTAAGCACACCAATTAAACATCAACTTGAATTGGAAACCAAAAGTACATTTATCAATTAGCTAAAATTTGTAATTTGATTTCTCTTGTAAAACCTGCTTATGTCTGGTAGAGCATGGTTGCAGTTTTTCAACTTTGAGTGTGCATCTCCAGGCTGGGGTTGTTTTGTCTTTCACGTTTGCAGGCAATGCCAGGCTGGTAATGCTGAGCTTGGGGCTCTTAAAGCCAGGAGTGTTTCTCTCACTGTTTTGCTTTGTGCGCTTTGGAGCTTTCCCACCTGTTTTCACTCCATTTATTTACATGTACTCATGCATTTTTTCATTTCAGTTCTTTCTAACCTGGGTGTGGTGTTTGTTTGACTCCCTGAGTCTGACTTCCCAGCACCCCCTTTGAGAGTTACCTGCGAGCCCCTCTCGTTTGTGGGCCACTCCTGTGTTCCCCTTGGGTTTGTAGGTTTCTTCCGACTCCCCTTGAGTCAGAGTACTAGGTACACCCTGGGAGGTGATAAGGCTTCACTTCTGTCCTAATAGGACTAGTTCCCCAAAACCTTACCAAGGTCCTGTAGCATGCTGTTGTTCCAGAATCATTCTGAATCCCAAAAGATTTCTTTTGTGCTGGCAAAGGGGGAGGGGTGCTTCTGGGCTGCAGGAGAGCTGATTTCCTCTCTGAGCTGGCACCAGAGGTCTCCCAGTGGCACCAGAGGTCTCAGGATTCTCACCGCTCAGGCCCTTCTCACACCTACAGGCAAAAGGACACAGCAGCTCTGTTGTCTCCAGTCCCTTTGTGGCTGCCAGAAATGTTGCAGAATTCCAAAAGGACGAGAGACCGAATGGAAATCAGGAGGATTTATTAGCACTGAGCGTTTGAACAAAGAAAAATTCTACTTTTTATATATTTAGTTGAAGGAGGGGTGGTCTTTCTAGTGACACAGTGACTGAGTTTACCAAAACAAGACAAGGGCAGGCAGTTTAATAATCTAGCCTTATAAGAAGACAGTGTCTTATAAATCATATGGGAACAGAGTGTCACAAACTTTGTTTATAGAACATCCTCAGGGGTTACAAAACTTTATAGGAATATGACTGTTTACCTTATCAATACCATGGGGAGGTCAGTAATTATGGGAATGGGGGGCAAAACCTGAGTGGGGAGCTGCTAGACTGTTTTCAGCTAGGAGAACTGATTTTCTGTTCTGTTTCCCTACAGACAGGTCATGTATTCTCAATGCTTTCAAAGAATCATTAATGTCTACTGGTATAGACATTCTGAAGGAACCAAAATCATCAGGGCACAGTGGTACATGCCTGTAATCTGAGCTGTTTGGGACGATAAGGCAAGAGGATTGCAAGTTCTAGCCCAGCCTGGGCAATACAGTGAGCCCTATCTCAGAAGAAAATAAAAAGGTCTGGAATGATGTAGCTCATTGTAGAGCGCCTTTCTAACACATCTGAGGCCCTGGGTTCAATCTCTAGCATTGCCACAAACAGAACCAAAATTGTATTTGAGTTCATTAAAACTCCCTGTGCAGTCTTACAGAACAGAACTTTGGTGTCAGCTCTTTTCTCATAATGTGATATTGTGTTGTGAGTTTGGTAAACTGACATTCATGTCTGAATCCTCCTCTAGGGCTGCTTCCTCAAGGGACTGTCATGAGCACCCTTCTGAGGAAAGTGCTGTGTTTAAGATTTAGTCCAGATGATCATGTTGTTGCAGTCGGTTCAGGAAACACAATATTCATGCTGGATGTCAAGGTAAGATTTAACAAACTCAGCAAAGCTCCACAGAGTCCAGAGCTGATGGGGCCTCTCAGTGGCAAGATTCTGCCCTTTTATACTGAGAGTTTTAGTTTGATGCATTTTTAGAACGATGTTGGGAAAAATTAAATCATGTCTTTGTTTTGCAGTTTGTATAAAAATGTCATAAGAACTTTACAGGAAACCTAGCCATCAGGGATGACCTTAACAAACATGTTTAGTAAGCCTTTATCTCACATTCTTTCTTGTAGGGTCCCCACAGTCATCTTAAGGCAGTGCTATCTCATCTCTGTCAAAATGCTTGGCTCCCACCAACAACCACACTTCTCACTTATTTTTTAATTGAAACTAGTTAGGTAAATGTAAACATCTTGCTGCTTGTTGTTTTTAAATCCAGCTGCAACTGCTTGATTGTGGTAGAGTAAGATCAGGGGTCACAGAGCAGAGGGTGGGGCCTGGGGCAGTGTGAAGGAGGATTTTGTTTCCCTGAAGTTATATCTTCTGGAGTTGCATTGTGGAGGTTACCACAGCTGGTCATGTCTTGGCTTCTGTTTACGGATTAGTGCAGGAAAATAGAGGTCATCTCTGTTCATTGCAGTGTTTGGGCTCATTGTCAGATTGAGGCTTCCATGAAGAGAAGTCAGCCACAGTAAAGTAGGGTGTGTTGTGTTGGTTCGAAGAGGGCTTGAGGAGTTTCCTGTTGAACAGACTGCTAAAGCCCCCAGGATAAGTTGGTGATTCAGCTCCAGATACTCAACATGATGCTTGTGGAGATATCTTGTGGAGAATGAATGAGTAGCATGAGGGCAGTCAACTACAGAACAAAATCAGTCACCAAAATGGAACTGATAGGGTTTAGAAGAAAGGAAAACCAAAATAACTTATGGAGATACTTAAGACTGTTAGTGATCGAAGGAGGGTGAAGAGTCCACAGAAGGAAAACGATAAACTGAGGGTTAGGTCTCAGCTACGCATCTCAAAGCTAGCTTGATTAACAGATGGCATGGAACAGCCAGTACTGCTTCAGTACTGGGAGGTGACATCGGAGAAGGTACCAAGGGAACAGCAGAGTGAGTGGACACAGGTGAGTTTCCCCATAAATAATGGAAACTTGGATGAGTCATTTCACAACCCCAAAATAGTCATATAAAAATGATTTCAGTACTGTAATATAATACCAAATAATAAAGAAAATACAAAATATAAAGAAAAGTGAACAAATTAACCTGCACTTACCTTTGAAAACCTTCATGGCTGGTGTGAGGGAGACAAGAGAGAGGAGGGTTATTGTGTGGGTCAACTTTCACTATCTAACAGAATCGCTGCTGTCTGTAGGCTCAATAAAATCTTTTTTCTTTTTGTGCAATTTTAACAAGGAACCTATCCAGTGATACTTGCTTTTGCTTCTTTTTGAGGATTTTGTGGAAATGTGACATTGCATTGTCATATAAACAGATTTATCACTTACACTGCTATAGCCTTATTCGGGTGGTACTTTTCTACAAAATTTTGCACTGTTTCCCACATGTTACATATCTTCCTAATCTCATTTGAAGTAAAGGATTCCTCTACCTCGTTCTCTTCTTCCTCTGTAGATGAGATCTCCTCCATGATCTCTTGCTGTTGGGAGACAGAAGGAGAGGGAGAGGGATGGGGAGGGGGAGGGGGAGAGGAGAGAGAACCATTGGCTCGGTTGCAGTCAGTGATGTTCAGTGTCATGTACTACTCATATCGCAAGACATCACTTGTTTATCAATTAAAATTTATTGGATATGTTTGCTTGTCTTGTGGAACAGTTGCAGAACAAGTTAATTGCAGTCCAAGGTTTTACTGTGTGTTAAATGGATAAAACAGTGCCCTTGCTTTTGGCACTGGTAAGACTAAAAGGAATTGATGCTTTGAAAAGACATCTATGGTCTATAGTTGCCCTAGGGGAAGTAGTGTGTCTGCTGCAAATATAAGTCATGGTCACTTGAGAACATGGCCCTAAAGATGAGTTCAGTGACAGTCGGGACGAAGCCCTACGGATGAGTTCCTTGCACAGTCAGGATGCTCTATAGGGATGAGCTCGATGTACGGTCAGGATCCTCTGTAGTGGTGAGATCACTGCATAGCTAGGATACTCTGTAGGGATGAGCTCATTCTACAGTCAGGATGTTTCATAGTGGTGAGCTCTGTGCAGTCAGGATGCTCTGTAGGGTGAGCTCACTATACAGTTAGGATGTGATACTCTATAGGGATGAACCCTCGTTCAGCGAAGACACTTTATAATGGTGAGCTCTCTGTGTAGTCAGGATCATCTCTGCAGAGGGACTGCTCTGCCATCAAATGCCAGGATGCTCCCTGGATGAGCTCCCACTCCCTCACTCACTCCCTCTGAAGTACTGAGTACAGATGCAGAGTCATTTCTAACTTTGTCATAGGTTTTGGTTTTAATCTTGTCAGGCCCAAAGTTTGTTTCCTTCTGAAGTATGAGGTTTTTTTCCTCATGATGCCAGTATTATTATTCTAATATTACTGCATTTCTATTGTTTTTAATGCATAATTTTATTTTGTTTTTATAATCATATAGATTGATATATACTTTGGTAGAATTTAGTTCAAGGTACAGCAACAGTGGAAACATTTTTACCTTCTCTAAAGTAACGTCTCTTTGCTTAAAGGTCTGGGACCATTTAATGGGATCATTAATATTCAGTTCATCCATTTTAACAGGTAAATTTAAACTTTTCTACCTTGAACCTAATAGGCTTTCTGTAGCCAAATCATCACCACTAATGTGCTATCCCACAGGTGCAGCTGAGCCATGATCCTCTCTACATACTCAGTAGATTTGAGTCCTGGAAGTTTTTTATTAGTGCGCATTAGTTTTATAGACTAGTGGGTTTCATTTGAATAATTTTTACACGTGTGTAACATACTTCAATCTTTTCCAGAGTCATGTATTTAACCACCTTGCCTTCCCCTTCCTGTTTCCTTTTCCCTGTAAGAGCCCCCTTTCTACTTTTATCATCATTCTGTTGAACCATTAGTATCAGGCTCATGGTTTTGCAAGTGGTGAGGAATAAAGTCTTGAACCAAAGGAGGAGGTTAGAAGAGTTTTATTGGGAATAAGAAGAGGAAGAATAGCTCCTAAATTTTTTTTTCCTTAAGTTCTTTTGTTGGTACATTTTAGGTATACAATTCGTTTACATTTATCATTGGGTGTTTGTACCTGTACATGATGTATCTTGCTTCTTATTTTTTCCCTATTACCTGTGCGCCCTTCGCCCCTTCCACCCTTCCCTACTTACGTAAACATCATTTAGCTCCTAGATTTTTAGAAGGGGTCCTGAATGGGGTGACTGCATGGTTACTTGAGTTAGAGTCACTTATAGGTAAACAGAGCATAGGGATTTCTTAATCGTTTAGCGGTCACCTATTATGGGTGGCCCTGTGAAGTTAAAGAAATGACCAGTTGGAACTTAGGCTCACTCTCTCAGTTTCTTTACATAGTTTTTACAGTAAACTGAGATCTTAGAAAGAACTGGTTATTGTGCATTGTAATTTCCTCAGAACTCAGGAACTTAGTAGGGGGTGGCCATATTTTCCTTTTAGATGGAGGGGCCATATTTCACATTGCCTGAGGAATAGCTATTCCTGGCGCAAATTCCTAGTTTCCTATTTATATTTAAATTTTCATTGTTATGGCTGACTACCCAGTTTTTTATCAGCCCTTCTCCACCTACTGTCTCACTCATAAGCTATCTAAATAAACCATCTTCTACACTATCTTGTTTTTTTGTTTAGATTCCATATATGAGAAAACATGCAATATTTATTTTCTCAGTCTGACTTATTTTACTTAACATGATGATCTCCAGTTCTATCAGTTTTCCTGCAGTGATACCACAGTGGAGTATTATTCAGTCATTCAAAGGAATAGAACAGTGTCCTTGGAGTTTTTAACTTATATGCTTGGAGTCTGAGCTTTTCTGTCTCATAGAATTGAACAAAGCATATTGGCTTTCAGATAAAGCACCTGGCCATAGGGGGCCATCTGCTGTCCTGAACTGATGAGACTCAGAACTGTGGTATTTGGAGAGTGTGCCTCCTGTCCCCTCACTCTGAGGCCCAGTGTGCAGTGAGGAGAGGCCAGCGTGCTTGAATGGAGAAGGGTTGCTTTCTCTCCGCACCCCCGCCAGCATTTGTTATTTGTTGATTTCTTGATAACAGCCATTCTTTGTGGGGTGAGGTAGAATCTCAGTGTCGTTTTCATCTGCATCTCTTGAATGACCAGTGATGTGGAACATTTTTCGTATATTTATTTGCTGTTTTTACTTCTTTGAGAAATGTCTGTTCATTTCAGATGCCCATT